GTGACGCCGGGCAGCCCTCGGTCGGGCCTCTCCCACTCGGGAGCTCTTGTCTTGACCCACGCCTGCGTTCTCGCCCCAAAATAAAGCCAGCGTGGCACTGCAGGCAGGACGCACGGGGCCTCACGGCCACGGCAGACAGGGCGCCGCGCGATGTTGAAAGAGAGGACAAAATGAAATGCAGCGTTCCGATTTTGAGACAAATTACTCAATACTTTCCTCAAAGTATCTGAGCTATTCCGCTGTATGAAATATATAAACGGCATCTGAGAAGTCAGACACGTGAGAAACTGTCAATAAGGCACAACGTTTATTTACACTCATAATTGAATCCTTAAGTGTTTTATAATTCGTATTTACAACCCCCCATAAAGTTTTTGCATTCTGGATGAGTCCTTCACATTTTCAGATATTTGGCATAATGTTCAGATACACTTTACACACACTGGCCTCTCCTTAAATCACTCAAAAAATTAAATAAATACTGTAGAAAAAATTAAGATACTTGAAGGCTTGATCTTTACGTCAAGATGACAGAAGAGCCATTCCTTGTGAAGTACGACTGCAAGAGTGAGGAATTAACACATTGTTTGTAATTCACCAGAAAAGTATGTTAACTCTGTTCAAGTGCCACTGAGTAAAATGAAAATGAATCTGTGAAGAAGCTGTCTGATTGGCAGGCGGCTTTCTATGGGCCATCACTCTCACAGTCTTCTATTATTACGTCTTCTTCGTCCATGTCTGCTTGGGATGAAAAGGGCCGAGGCTGGCTGGCAGGCAGTTCACTCCCACTGTTCTGACTCGAAGAAAGAGTCCAGGTCTCCGGCTCAAGGGTGTGCAGGGGTTCGCCCAGAGCTTCCTCGGCAGGCTGGCCTCCATTCCGCCGGGCTTCATCTCCACTGTCAGGGTCTAGCATTCCAAGCTCCCTGTCAGTCAGGGCTTCCATTTTCAACCTGTCAGAGCACAGACATTAGTAAGAAAGAAAGCTGGGGGTTCCTTTAAGTTATACCATTAGTATGAAGCCATCGTCTCTAATCTTTCATTTACCTTCACTGTGCTGTTTAGTTTTACTATAGAAACAAAACTACAAACTAAATGACACAACCTGTAATCCCACGCTTTGGGAGGCCGAGGTGAGTGAATTGCCTGAGCCCGCGGATTCGAGACCCGCCTGGGCAACTTGGCAAGACCTCATCTCCACAATAAATCAAAAAATTAG